TGTCCCCGCCCACGGTCATTTCAAAACGCCTCTGCGCAATGTTTGTTGCCAACTGGCGTTTGTTAGAACCGCATGCAAACCAGGTCTGTTTGCCTGTCTTAACTCGGATCATGGGTAATAAGCCAATTGGCGTCGGCCAGGCCACACTACATTTTAATCAAGCCAACTGAGCTGTAAAGCCCACGCACCATCAAAGCCAAATATGTTCCCCGTCGGCGGTGCGAGACTAGCACCACATCCAAAGTGTCGCCAGCTGTCGACCTTCGAGGCGTTGTTGAGTTGAGTCATGGCTTATACCATTGGCCATAACCGACAACTCTGTGGATGGCAAGTTGATGGTGAAATGGTGTAGGGAGGCTGGAGAGCGAAGATATCCGGGATGCAAAGCGCACTTAATCGCACTTAAACACAAAAAATCTTAAGTTTTATGTATAAGCTGAGTACTATATTCGTATAGGGTACAAAACCACTGCCTCCCCTCATTACTCTGGGAACCAATAAAATATATACATTTTATGGAAAATAACAAGCTAGTGAAGTACTTCTTCCTGAATGTGATCGTCACCTGGGTACGATCAAAGTGCCCACACTTGTTTAAAGCTTCCTTTGCACACCGACAATCATCCAGCCTCCTCGTTCCGGAGATGAATCAAATACCGATAGCTACGCCCCTTTTAGCTGGCGAGAACAGACTGTCAAGCTAAATTAGCAGTGGCTACTGTTGGTCATATCATATCATTTACCCAGGAACACTGGTCATATCTACCGGCTACCAAGACCCCTTGCCAATTCGATTAGACCGTGCAAATGTAATTTAATAATTGCGGTTGCCCATGTTGATTAGCATGTGCGGTTTTTGCAATTTACGACCAGCGGCGATCCGCAGGATATGAGCTGGCACTATGACAATGACAGGATGCATCAATGTGCGGCGCAGAGCCACTTCACTCCACATGGTGGCGACGGGGAAATGTTTATGGCTTTGTGCTCGCCTGCGGTGGCAACTTCAAATGCATCGGTAATTGAATTTTAAATTGTGGTGGTTGTGTGCTCTACGTGCTGCTCCTGTTGGCCAGATTAATTTAAATGAAGTTATTAGCCAGCTAGATAGCTCACTGACAGGGCGCAAAAAGCAGCAAAAGACAAAAGACCATGTAGCTCCCACTCCTGCTGACTTAAAGTGCCCTGATATGGGGATACACTACACTACATGTACCAGTGGAGTTACCAGGCTCCAACGGGTTTTCCGTTTTAACTGCTCTTGCGGGCTGCATTTGAAAGTTAAATTACGGTAGCGATATCAGAGCAGACATTCCGTTAATTGGCCGCACAACTTGAGATCGAGCTGATGGTTAGGTTTTGCATCCAGGCGTTTTGCATACTCTATTTGCCAGTGAAGCCTGGTAATGACTGAACGAATATGCAGGCCAGTCGAGAACTCCGTTCGGAAGTTTTTGGAACTTTCTAAAGTCGATGATGTTATGGGCTTAAGAAGGCTGTGCGGTAAAATATTTAGTACTTGCACAAATCTGTGGCCTAACCTTAAAACATCAATTGTTTTGTGTAATGTATGTGTTTCCGAGTCACTTAATTCATTTAACTTGGTTTTTCCTACTTGGCAGTCGCGCGAAAGAAACCTGAACTGGATTTTGTAAACCGTGAAGCTCACAACTCAACCCATTTCCCTGCTGTTTTTGGAGAGTGTAATAAAACTTCGTTGCGCCCCAGCAACCTCGCCTTCTGAATGCCAGTTTTGCAATTTTTTTTGGCTAAGTCTGCTTTACAGTTGCGGCAGAAATTGTTGCAAATTGCAGTTTAAAAAGTTTCCGTGTTGGTTTTTTTTCCGGCGTCGGCGTCGGAGTCTGCAACTAATATGAGTCATAAATTTAAGGGCTTAACTCGAGGCTAAGGCGAGTGCAACTGCAACCGACCTGGAGCTGTGCCGCTGACAGGGACTTTTAAAATGAAATAAATAAACGGCATTACGGCTAGTTATATGCAGCGATCAGGGTCTTGAGCGGCATAAAGCACGACGACAAAAAAACAACTGTGCCACGGAGTGTTGGCGTGGAAGCTGAAAGTTGAACTGAATGTGAACTTAACTGGGCTGGGCCCAAGTCGTCCAGTTACTTTTGCATTTGCAGCACGGTCCCCATGCTGCACGAGACGAAGCCATTTTATTGATACAGATACAGCAAATTCGGGTCCACCAAAAACAAAAAAAACTAAAGTCTGGCCGGGTTTTTTTTGGCAACTCGCAGCATGACATCATTTTGAGTTACTGCGAATCGGAGTTTGAACCGCTCTTTTAACTGCAGCAGCCCTGCAGCCACAAAAAAAAAAAACACAAAAACTGGTCGCTGTTTTACTTTCGCTTTATTCCTCGAAGTATTTCTTATTTCCTTTCGGCCTGTGCTTTCAGTTTTTTTCGGTAGAGATGCTTCATTATTTTTTGGGTCATCCCGAAGAAGTACGTTCGTATATGGCGATGAAAATGAAACCGAGTTCTGGTGAAAGTGGGCTGCCCATCACCGAATGGAAATCGAAAACGCATAACAAGTGCACGGCTTTCAAGATCCGTGAACCACATGGTCGGGCCTTGGCGGATCGATTGTGTCATGGAGCGTGGGTCGTTCGCCCACGAGGCCTTCTCAAAAAAGCCTCCACTGGCCGAAACTAATGATGTTAGACTGCTTCGCTTTGGTCTCGGTTTCGTCTTCATCTGTTCATCGGTTTATCGATTTGTATGCGTTGCCCACACACTGTAGCTCTTTTGGGATTTTTGCGGCAGTCAGAAGAGATCAATGCAAAAAGTTTTGCGAGCGCAAAATTAATTAGAATTTTGTGGCTTTGAATGGCAGCTCCGCCGTTGGCGGCTGGGAAAAGACCTTGAGCGGCGGTTCAACAGACTGTGTGGGGTGCTGCAAACTAGTTGAGGCAACTGAGTCACAATCTTGGAGCTCCAAAAGAGCATCCAAATCGCGACCAGTCTTTGGAATTTGCCATAATAAATCTGTCTGCAGGCTAATGGCACTGAAGACGCACAACATGACTTACGAATTACCCGTAAAATCTATGGAATCAATCTCCCGATTTCGCCAGTTGCTTTGGCGTTCGACGAAAGTAGCTAAATCTCTTTCCCACGAGTTTCTCTGGTCATTAGGCAATAATAAAACTGGGGTTTTATTTGCATTCAATAAAGGTTTCATTAGCCGACGATAGGTTTGTGTCTGCAGTCTTTTGTTTTTGCCATGCAATTTATCTGTGCCAGGTTTTAAAAATAATAGTTCGTCGATTTCATTATCGACAAAAACAAGTTTGTTTCCTTAGTCTTTTGATTCCGTTGTAGAAATTTGCACAAAGTTGGAGTTGAAGTTGGAGTTTTCAAAACTTTAAAATAATATCAAGTGCGTGACTTAAGACTTGTAATCTACCTCATCTACCTTGGAAAACCAGAATCCCCTATGTAGTTTGTGTCCTAAGTCTTTAGATTTGGCCCATGAATTTTGCAATAAAAATAACTGAAATTTCTCTTCTGCAAAATGTGAAAGACTTGTCTCTTTACACTTACGCCATTTATCTCTGCAGAAGAATCGCGAAGCAGAGCATTCACTTTGGGTCCCTTGACTCACTTAATTGCGGCAATTTCTTTCGCCCACGCAGAGTGAGTCAAGCCATTTGGCTCATAATTTATAGGCATTATTATTGTAATTTCTCCAAGCAGACAAACGCAGCAGCTCGCACGCAAAACAATAATACATAAAGTGAAAGTTTTGCACCTTTTGCCGCGCAGACAACAAACGAACGGCGAACGCATCAGCCTAAACAGCTAAGCAACACAAAAATAGTCAGTCAGTCGGTCGGTGAGATGGGATAAGATGAGCCACGCACGAACCGTTCGGGAAAAACAACTTCAACCAAACTACCAAAACCCACGGCGAGCAGAAAAACAATGGTTTACAAATGACTACCAGCTAGTTCATGCCGAAACTGGCTGACAAATGAGATGGCGCCGGTAGCTTCACTTGTGTCTTGCTTTTGACAAAAAAAAGATGCAGACAGGGATCTCCCATCTCCATCAACGAACACACAAATTTCGCCAAATCCGCCTGCGAAATCTCCCAAAATATCAAACAATCACAGAAAGATATTTTTTTGACCTCATCTTTGTTTTCGGTACACTTGTGATTGCTTGACAAACTCTTTCCTCGCGCCTTCGAAAAGTGTGTCAAGCGGGCATTTGAAGCAATTATTTGTCATATTTTCTATTTGCGTTTCGGTTTCGTTATATCCGAAATGAGATGCAGAGAAAATAAACAGCATTAGCGAAGAGGCCCTGACCACAGAGTCAGTGACAAGCCGTCTTCGGACCCGTTTCCATCTGCGTACTCATCATCTTCGTCTTCCAACTCATCAAATCTCACAATGACTTTGGTCTGAGATTTTTGCACCAACGAAAGTGAACGTTTCTTTGTGTCGGCACTGTTTGTTATTATTATTTCTTTGCCACACTAACAGTTGGTATTGTGAGCTTATGTCTGCACTTGGGTGGAAAAAAACGCATATTTATCATGTAAATTTTGTGTGCCAGCAGTTTTAATGCTCGCTAATTCCAGACTATTTATAAGTAGTTTTAATGAAACTTTTGTGTTTGCGACTTTAATGGAACTACAAACGTTTTTATATTAAAGTTAAAAATAATATCTAAGACCCATAAAAAGGCACTTAAAGTAATACGACGAAATTTATATATAGTTTCATATATTAATTTGACTTTTCTAAATGTATTCAATTTCAGTTGGCTCTTCCTAATGGTTATCAGTTTTATTGCAGGCTAAATATATTTTTATCTTTGCCATTTGCGATATAATTTAGGTTTTGGCTGTTTTAACCACTTGGCTTTTTCCGCCCGAAAATCCATCAAATTTCTACTATAATAAAAATGTTTTATATACCACTTAAAATTTGCACTTAGTAGAAGGGGGAAAAAATGTGCTCACCATTTTATTCATCAACTTTCGGCCAAAATCAGTTCATACTGCCAACAGCTGCCAACGAAGATCGACGCCAGCAAAAAAGCCTTGTTTCTTACTTGGCTGCTGCCAAAGCAGCTGCCAAAAGCGATTTGCCGTCAAAAGCGCAGAAATACACACACACACACAATGCGCGACGGCTTTGGCAGACTCACAGACACTGGAATATTTTTATTAAAACGTATTGTTGTACTTAACAATATTTAATGCTTTTCTTTTGAACACTTTGGATTGCTTTGCGCGCGTTTGGTTTTTCGGAATTTTCACAGGGTAAAATAGCTGAAAAATGCCCGGCAACTTTCACTGCAATTAGGCGATGGATGTTAGATTCCCCGCCTATTCAAATAAGGCAACGATCTCCGCTCAGATGATCTATCCGGAGTGCTGGCGCTGAACTTAACACTTAACACACTGTCCAGAGAGAAGCCCACTTGGCAGAGAACCGCACCGCACGCGCGCTGAAAACGAACTGAATGTGCGGAGCTTGAGCCGCCGATCGCGAGCCCCAGTGGTTACCTGTATTGCCAAGAGTTACCTGGCTCTAAACCCGAGAGAGTGTGTGTATGAGCCCGGATTTTGGTGTGAGTGCGGCTGGCTGTTAGGCAACTTTGCTGCCCACACTTTGCTCGGCAAAAGTCGCCGCTCTGCTGGTCCATTTTTGGCCTGGACCGCTCAGCAATAATTTTTTCTCTCCTTTTTTTTGTTGTTACTTTGTTATAACCAAGACGCCTTTGCAGAAATGTGAAAAAGAAAAAAAATGTAGAGGTATAACCTATACGATTTGTGGCTTCCAAGTTGCCAGTTGTGCTTTGACTTTTGATTGACGTAATTTCTGCGCTTGATATTCACTTGAATTTCTTGTATTTCCACATTTAACTGTTTTGGTGTCGGGCGCACATTACACGCCCACCACACCCGTACTCACACATACACACACACACCTCCCATGTGGGCGTTTCATTTCTTGAAAACATTTAAATTTATTTCATACGTGTTTCATCAGGAGTTTTGTGAACTTTCGCTCGCCACGGAACTGAATGGAATATGTGGGAGTGCTGAACCGACCCTATATAGGCTATATAGTGCTTGACTCACTCGATTTGCTTGGCTGGCTTGCTTATGCTAATTAACCAGCTTAAACTTTGGTATTCAAGCGTTTCCCCAGAAATTAAAGACTTAAGCAACGAACTCGTCCCAAATTGCTGAAAAACTTTTGTGGTTCACAGCTGACCTTGTGTTATACCTCCGAAATGAGGTCCTTATCGTCAAGGAATCTTTATTGCAATGAAGTAATTTCCGCATGTAATGGGCAGATCGAAAAAAGTTCTCTCATCTTACGGTAACCGTTTTTTTTTTACCAACATTACCTTTTGGAAACGCCCAGCTTGCACATTAATTTCTACGCCCCGCAATTATTTCATGCAGCAAATGGAGTATGAAGAAACATAAACGAAAAACGTGTCCCACATACTAAGATAGGTTAAAGCAAAAAGAAACAAGCCACTAAAAAAAATAAAAATGTACAAGCATAATTAAAAACACACTCGTTGAAAATGGCAACAAAAAATATCAAAAAAGGTTGGGATCTGTGCACCGCAGAGACTGAATCTTTTAGCCTTTGCTGCAAGTGCGGGCGTTTTAATTTCGGAAAAAAAAACGATCCGAAGATTGAAGTGCACTAAAAACTTTATGGTAAAACGTAAAATTTTTGGCAAAATCTAAAAAAACAAGTTTCCAAGAACATTTATGTTGATAATATCATGTTTACTTAGGTCCCAAAATTATTTATATATATAAGGTTAAAAGCTTTTAAAACATATAAAGTTTTAGCATATAAAGTTAAGCTTCCTCAATTTGTAACAATAACTACATAAATAATGATATAGTATTATTCCTAATAACATTCACATTGTAATTATTAAGTACAGGTGAGTAACTGCAATTAATTAATACACATTTGATTTTCTAAGTACAATGTAAATGAAATAAGTCAACGTTAAACAACCTGAACAGCTAATAGAAAAACTGGTGGGTTTGACTTGAGTGTTTGGTATGTTAATTATACCCATTTGAAGATGAGTAAAGTTCCCTGTCTAAACAGCCACTTTATGATCGCCACTTAAGTGAAGGAAAATTTCGAGTGCAACTCTAAAGTGCATTTTGTTACCTATTTTCGCAGCCTAAACAAACTTGGCGTTCAAGTTGGGTTACCCGTTCAAGAGACGTGCATTCCTGAATTGCTAAAACAAGCAATACCGCAACAGCTGCAACAAGTGCGGCTAATTTGATGCAGCAAAGGCAGCAGTGCAACAGCAGCGGCGCAAAACCCACACGCGTCGTCGTCTACACTTGGCATATTTAACACATTTAATGAAAAACCAACAAAACATCAGTATTTATGATGCAGCCGGGTGATCTAGGGCCAGCTCTCCAGGCGCCAGGAGGGCCTCCTGTCCACCGGCAGGTTGTGGCTTTATTAAGTTGCTGTTGTTGTCTGTTTTTATTAATAAGTCATATTTTTATATGGTTCAGCCTGGGAGCAACAGAAGCAGCAACTTGATAATTTATGTTGTTTGCGAAGCGCCGAGCGGGATGACAAAAGTTGCAGATGAAGCTGTTGGACCAAGGGCAACTGGAGCCAGGGGCTCCCACATTCATACGTGGGCTTATTCATAAGTCATTCACTCGCTTGCTCGGCCATTCATTCATTCATAAACTTTAAGAAAAAAAGCTCGAAAAGCGAAGCTCATTTTGTGATTAATTAAATGCAACTTGGATGGCTTTTTGTTTTGATTATTATTATGGTTGCTTTTGAAAAAGTGTGCCACTGCAAGAGACATGCAACAGGTTGCAGTGATGTAAGTGTTTACGACTATTTTCAGTTTTTTATTGCTCTACCAACCACTAATATGATTTTCGTGGAGTTTACTTATTTGGTTAGCAGGGGGCGAAAGTTCGTTGCCTAAGTCTTTCGCTGTGATGCACTTTGCACCTGACCAACAGGTGCGCCAGAAAACAATTCAGACGTGGCCGATTGGCCGCGTGATAGCCCCTAAAACTGTGTCAAATCACTAAGTACACTAAAATTATTTGCTCATTTGTGCGAAAATGTGCAAAAATATAATTGCAGGAAAATGGCGAAAAACGATGAAAAAATTCGCAAACGCCGTAAATAGTTCAAGCATTACGTAATCGCTTAAACATCTCATTTCTGCTTCAGTTTTCGTGATGAAAAAGTTGCATGGCGTCAACGAATTAAGCAAACAACGATAGAAATTGCTGTTAATTTGAATGCGGGTTTTATTTATTTTTGCAATTTTTGCCGGCACAGTTTTCACACAGCGCCCACACACAGCTGTTCAAACGCCGGAGCATTGCACAAATATGATTTGGATAGGCGGGGAGATCTGGATCTAGAGGGGATTACGGGAGGATCGCGCACCTTAGCCACAATCGAAACGCAACCGATCGGCGGATAAAACTATTGAGCGAAGTGCACACAACGCGGTGCGCCGGCTGACTGAATTTGAGAGGCTAAAACTACGACGCTCCTCACTGCATTTGTTGGCCAAGTTAGTTGGCAAACAGCTGACAGACTGGCTCTCTCTCTCTCTCTCTCTCTAACGACTAAAACTAGTTTCGTTTAATTGTGGCCCGGCCTGGCATTTGAAAATCTGTTTGGCCGTATAACAGTTGGCCAGCGTAACTGTGCTACCCGCTGAGAAACGGAGAAAAACTCAGAGAAACTGAGAGACTTACAGAGAAGTATGGACAAAACGAGAATCACAGCGGGCTGGCATCGTCTAATTTGTTATTGTTATTGTATTTGTCAAGTCAACTGATAAATTGACTTGATATTGAAAATAAATTAATTATATCGTCGAAAAATGGAACAATTCGAAGTTGGCTTTCGTGGGATTAGGCAATCACTGAAGCTGGCAGAAAATTCAAGCGGATCTGTACTTGCAAAAAAAATGTATAAAATTATAGTACTTGAATAATAAAAATGAGGTCACAGCATGCGTCATGGGAGATTTTCATAATAAAATATAGATATAAATATTTTTTGTATTCATATAGATAACTTGACTTAACTTGTTTTTTTTTATATTTCTGCTGCAATGACTCACACATCTATTCTGAGCGCAAGACAAATTGTGGCAAATTAAAATCAAGTTATCTAATTGATTTCAACAATATTTCACCTTGAAATATGCCAATATGCTATGCATTTTTAATGATCCATTTCCATTCTTCCTCGGTTGAAAAGAACATCATTAGCTTTGAGCTGCCTTATAAATGAAGGCATATTCTTATCATGGGTGATATAAAAGAAGTAGACCACTTGTGGTAAAATGGCACTGGGAGATAATTAATGATGCCCTTGATGTAAAAGACAAAATGCTACATATTTATCTGCATGCAGCTATGCTTTCATTTCTTATGGTTATAAATTATCAAGGAAAATGCGAAATAAGTAATCCCTATTTTTTAATAAAAAGTTTAAAGGCCCCATAACTTTTGAATTAGTTATACGTACAGCTTTTTCACTTCTCCTGTCTTTTACTTACATTAATTTCAAATGTTTATAGCGCATTCGCCTGCAAAATGTAAAATGTGCAGCAAATTCGGCTCAGTCAATTTAAGTGACTGCTCACGTTTTTTATTTTGCTGATCTTTTTGAATATGTACGAATCTTATATAGAGTTCACTTCTGGCCAGTTCCAAAGTCACGTTGCGCCCATAGACGCCACGTACGCAGTAACAGTCGCGAAGTAAGTCACAGTCACAGTTTAATGTTAATGTTACTTGCTGGCTTGCTTATTTATGTTTTTCCATTGCTAAATTTATTGTTGCGCCCGCTTGTGCGGAGCTTTACTCAATTTTTGGGAGCAAAAAGTTGTTGTTTTTGGAGCCACGGGGGAAATTCACAAAAGTGCAAGCAATTGGCCGGGCCAAGGTGCCCATACATAAGCCTCTATTTGCCTCATCCAGTACTAAATATGATTTATGCTGCCCCTGCGTTGCGTAAGTTGCACACGTCAAGAGTGATGACGTTATGCGAAGCGCGTGCTGAGGCAGCTGACCCAAAAAGCAAAAAGCCACTACGGTAGTTTGACGCCAACGCGGCCGAGGCGACATTTGGCTTAAATAGAATGCAAAGTACGAAACTCAAAAGTTGAAACTGCAACATAAAGCCATAGGCGGGTAGATAGTAGGATGATCTATACTCTATTTACTTGTTAATCCTATGAAAACAAATCATAATTTGTGATATCTATATTGTTTGGTCTACATATGGTTGAATATATTATTTATCTTCTTTGAGAAACATATGTGCGGTTAATAACGCGTTAATATTTTTAATTTTATTGTTATGTAAAAAAAACATTCGTTAAGTTAGCGATAATAAATACCGAATTCCGTGTACTAACTTTTTTTTTTGACCGATTTTTAAATGTTTGCCCTAGTTGATGGCACCACTTGCAGTTAGGGTGGAC